GTCAGAACAATAGAAGCCAGGAAGGAAGGAATGCTCGCAGAATCAAGTGCCTGCAAATCCAGGAGCAGGAGTTACTGAATTTTCCCAAACAGAAATTATCAGAGATTTTGGGCATTGCTGTTTCAGAAAGAGTTCTGAAGATTAAGTTCCGAAGATAAGGTTGCAAGAGGCCATGGAGAAGCAGGTGGTAGGAACTGGAAGCTCCTCTCTGCATTGAGCCGCTACCTGGCCGCTTTCTGCATCCTGGGAGCACAGCTTCCCTGCCACCTGCCCCCACCTGCAGCCTGTGCTCATGTTTTTCACCTTCAGCTCCTGAACTACCCCTCTTTGAAGCCCTAGCTCTGTTTCACTTCCTCCTTCAAGTCTTCTCTGAAGATTATAGTTTCCCTTTCATTCTCCACTCCCTGAAATCTTCCTGAGTTCAGCCACAGTCACACTAGTTAGCATGTAATCGTTATGCCATAAGCGTGAGCCTGCTCCCCTTCAGTTAGGCAGTGCAATTCTTTAGTTGGGAGCCTATATTGTACATTTCTTTGGTGCACTCCGTGAAAAAACTCTAGGTTTATACTTACCAAATATACTCCCAGGTCTAAAATTCTGTTACATATTTAAGAACCACCGCTTTAAAAATACTCTATACAAGCGTCTATCCCAGCATGCTTTCACTAAATTTTCAAATAAAACTGATCCATTTTGCCGGTCTCAACAAGATCGTCCAACTCATCCCTAAAGCAGAGTTGATAAACTTTAAATTTATGCAGAATTGTACAAAGGGGCAGGGCCTACAGACTTCTGGCAGTGAGCTTTCGAATTCGGTCTGCAATAAGCTAGCGATCGTATAATCAGGCCGACGGTAAATGTGTCGAATTTCGCGAACACTTAGAAAAGGGAGTGAAATGATCATTTAACGACAGTTTGCTCACCTGTCCCCTAAGGGAGTTGAACAGGGCACCTAAACTCACCGCGGCTGATTCTAATCCGGGTTTTTCTGCATCAGGCGTAGGCAGCCAATTGGGCCGCCCGAGCGCCGTGCATCCTGGGAGCTGTAGTTTCTCGCCCCTCCTCCGGACTACAAGCGGAGCAGCCGGAGGACGGTTGCTTGGTATATTAGCAAGCGGGAAGTATGGCGGTGGCGCGGGTCGACCCTGCTTTGCCTCCTGGAGAAGGTAAGACGATCCTCACCCCTGAGTCCCAAGGCTTACTCCATGGAACTAAATTAGTTACCTGCCAGAGAAAAGAAGGGTTTAGGGGTGCAGTTCTGGACCAGTTCTCTTGATGAGGGTCTGTGGGTGTCGCGGCGGCGCGCTGCCCTCTGGGAGCTGTAGTCCCCGGGCTCTGCCTAGCTCTCTCAGCCTTGCCGCGAGGGGCGGCCAGGGGACTACAGCCCCCAAGGCCCTTCGCGCGCCGGGCTCCTCGGCTCCCGCGCTCCTTAGGCTCCCGGGGTGGTGGGTTTCGGACTGCGGTGACCTTTCTAAGATGTTTACTTTGAGTTCTAGGTGCCCAAGCGAGAACCGCGGGATCTCCCTCTGTCGCTTTGTCCCCTTTTCCCCTCGGTTGCTAGAACGTTCAGGACACCCTCCATCAAACACAGCTCCCTAGACTGACGCTGAACCCTTTCTTGGAAGTGTCCGCTGGCTGTGATAAACCCCGGGGGCGATCCGGCGCCCACACTTCTCCGCCCCTGCTTGTGCGGACGGGATCCTGGGGTCGGGTTTGGCCGCTGCCCAGCGGAGCGCGGGGCGAGGATGCGCCCGTGAAGCGGAGCCGCACGAGCCAAGCTCCTTTGTTTTGGTTACAGCCCGAGCTCTGCGGCTCGGCGTCGGCCGCCTGGCCGGGCCAGGGCTGAGGTCGAGGCCTTGCTCCACGGCTTGGATCAGGCGCTTGTTCCATTCTGGGGGGCAGCGGGCAGTCGATGATGCTAAGAAGTCTGTCGACTCCTTGGAATTGTGTGCCAAGGTGGTGCGTTTTCCCGGGACACTGCGCAGCTTTCCCGAAATTCTCAGGGAATCCCATGACGCCCCCACCGCCTCCAACCCCCAAAGCTAGAAGCCCTTAGACAGTGGGAAAATGTTGCACCTCCTCAGGAGAGCATTCTCGAGTAATTGTTTTCCTCAGTAGCCTTAATTTGCGTGTGCATTTGAAATTGGCAGTTTCTCTGCGCCCACCTCCCTCTGACACCTGCTTCTCTTAAACCCCACCCCCC